GCCGCCGTCCACTTTGGGACATCGCCAACTTGGTTGACGCGCCAGTGGGGGAGGACACAGTCCGAAACCTGCTTGCAGAAGAAGGATATCATCGTCGTGTGGCTCGTAAAGTCCCAAAACTGTCGCCTCGGACCCGCAAAGCGCGCTATGATTGGGCACTGACCAGACAGCAAAATAACTACCGCGAGTTTGGTTCTGTTTGTTGGTCGGACGAGGCTTACGTGCTCCTGGGTGAAAGCCCAGGTCGTATTTTCGTCACTCGCAGGGCTGGAGAGGAGCTGGATGACGAGTGCATTGAGGAAGTTGCAACCCAGCCATCTGTGCGGGCCATGATTTGGGCATGCATTATGGATGGGAGGAAAGGGCCGCTCGTTATTCTTGAGTACCCAGGAGGTCGAGGAGGTGGAATGACGGCGCTCCGGTATCGTGAGCAGGTCCTTGACGCTGTGCTTGCTGACTTTTATGAGGAGATGATTCAGACCCACCCCAAATTCACATTTCAACAAGACGGCGCACCCTCCCACCGTGCAAAAACCACTCGGAAGTGGTTTGAGGAACACAATATTCCTCTTTTTCCCCATCCTGCGACCTCCCCTGACGTCAATCCCATTGAACCAGGCTGGCATGAACTGAAAAAGCGACTTCGCGCTCGCTCCCCCCAGCCAACCAACTATGAAGAGTTAAAGCAGGCTATTAAAGAGGTTTGGGCATCGATTCCACAAGAAGAGATCGACAAATACATTCGCAGAATGCCAAAAGTGGTTGATGCGGTGGTTGAGGCGAAGGGTGGACACACTCGATTTTAGGTATCGGGCCAGTCGTAAAACACTATAAAAACATGCAATACACTATTATTTACAAATTTGAAATCATTTTGGTCCGAAAAAGCTCGATATACGGTTACTTTTTCGGCCAATGTGTACATGACCACCCAAATACATCCAAAGAGCCTCCAGATCTTCGGACAAAGTAAAAAAGCCACAAATGTCATAGTCCTCTTGTACATACATACTCACACTCTTTTTGAACCGTATTTAATATTCTCTACCATATTGCCATGACTTACCCCGCTAGACGCGACATTACTCAAAGGATTCGGACTTGCATATTGTCCTGTATTGTTACATTAATCAGCAGCGTAGGATGCTTTCCGAAAAGATTTACGACATGGCCTACTTCTGAGGCACTCAATGCCTAAGTCTTGGCTCATTCTCGACTGAGGATCACGATAGCCAATCGGTCATTTGCGGATCTATATTTGCCTCTTCGACTTCCAATTCTATATTGACTTTCTTACACTTCTGACTCATACCACTGTGCCAACGCCCACTTTTTCGGCCATGAAACACGTACATGCACCTAATACAATTGTCTCTTAGACGATATCCACAATATCTAGTAAGACCACCTTCCCGACTCGCGTTTGTACAGTGTCACACGTGTGACACATGGAGTCGTCCTCGATTCCCTCACCGCACCTCTTCGGTACCGTCTTAGTGATTACGCAAACGGTCCTATACCTTCGTTTAATTGACTCAGAACGACTCCAGTCGGTCATAATTGACTCAACTAGGGTGCTGTAGAGCCAAAGCCTAGTCAAGGAAGAAGGCGCTTACTGGAGCTGAAGGAGCCGAGGACCGAGAGCCAAAACGGTAGATAAGACGATTCTATATACTTAAAAAAGCAATCAATTAAGTTCTACGGTATCCCAGCGCGATCTGACTCGGTAGTAGCAAGTCAAAAGTTGAGACTCGTGGCCATACTCATCATCTCTCCTTACCTGAGCATACCCGGAAAGCTTCACTAAGCATTCGCTAGTGTAGTTGGATTACTTTGGACGCCTCAAGCGAGAGACTTAAGCTCACTACCATGCCGTCGGACAAGAATGCAATCGTTGTTCTTGGCGCTGGTATGTACAATGGATTGGACCTACACTGATTTCCTAAACCTGCTACTTCAGGGGTAGTCGGATTGACTACAGCACTTCATCTTCTAGAAACAGGTAGATACGACGTGACTATCATAGCAGAAACCCTTCCTACGGATCCCAAGACGATTACTTACACGAGCCAATGGGCTGTACGCCGATGTCAACCTGGTCCTAGTGCTATCCTTCTGATTCCCTTTTAGGGTGCTCACCATGTTAGCTTATCCGGAAAGGACGTTAGGCAACAAAGTAAACCATCTTCAATGGGACTTCTACCCTATCAAATGATCTTCATTATTTGTTAGAGATGGACAAAGCCACGTTTGATAAGTTCTGGGAACTATCGGCCCCTGGTGGTTTAGCGGAAAACTGTTTCCTTCGTCTTCCGCAGACGGAATACTATATGGAAGAGAGTTCGGATCCTCATTTTGCTTATCCAGAGGTAAGAGCTGCGAACATTCATCAAGCATACCCCAGTGAGGCTGATTGATGGCCATTGAACAAAAATCAGTTCTGCGAAGTTTCGAAGGACCTGCTCCCTGAAAAAATACATTCTGCGGTATCTTTTAAGACGGTGACCATTGATATCCCAGTATATCTGAACTGGCTACTCTCGACTTTTCAGTCCAAAGGCGGAAGTGTAGTCCGAGGTACTGTTCAGCATATCTCGCAGATTGTGGAAGGAGGGCCAGGAATATTCCAGGACCAGAAAAGGATCAGTATTAAACCGGATGCAGTTATTGTGGCCGTGGGCCTCGGTGCACGGTCACTTGGAGGTGTTGAAGATAAGACAATGTACCCAATCAGGGGACAGACTGTTGTCGTTCGAGCGCCTTGGGTAAGTTGAAAACTAAGTCTTGACCGCCGAAAGTGGGGTTCACTACTTCCAAGGTACGATTTGGGAGGACGATTAACAGCACAGTGACTGGCCTTTGGACGTACATCATCCCAAGGCGAAGCGGAGACGTTATTCTGGGAGGTATCCACCAGTCGGATGATTGGTGAGAAGTGCATTTGTTTGCTGAACCGCAAGTATTGAAAGATGTTCAGGTACCCTATTGCTCGCTCAGACGATACTCGTGACATCCTCGAGCGTGCATTTTCTCTTTGTCCAGAACTTGCTCCCCCGGGCACCAGGGACCCAACGATCGAAGACGTGCTTCCTCTGGTCATCGAAGAAGGATGTGGTCACCGACCTGGCAGGAAGGACGGCATTAGGTTGGAGACCGAGTGGTTCGAGGAAGTAAAAGGAGGACGAAAGATTCCCATTGTTCACAACTATGGACATGGTGGGTATGGGTACCAGAGTTCGTGGGGTTCCGCCGAGTTAGCATTGGGGCTCTTAGATGAAGCTCTAGAGAGAGGGCCATGAATGAAGTGCCATTCTGATGGAACTATACGTCAACATGATTATGACCTTGATTACTGCCTTCCAGAACACGAGAAATAATAAAACTTTAAGACCGTTGATATATCGAACGAGAATCCAATAGATCCCAAGAACGTAATGACAATCAGATTGTCTTCGTTGTACATTGTTTCCTCACATTGGAATGACAACCCACGCCGGAGTTGAAATGGACCTTTAACATTGAATCTCGGGCACAATTGAATACCAGGTTCACTCAATCTCGAGAAAGTTCAGATATAGACGAGTTAGATGCTGCATAAGCATACGAAAAAATATAGATGTAAAAATGAACGAGGTCTTAAAAAGAGGATACCGCGGGAAGTTTTGAGAGGGTGTGTTAAGGCGCGAGTCTCTGAGTCTCTTGCTCCTGAACGCCATGAGTCTCGCGAACATGGCCTTCAGACTAACGGGTATAGGCACATTCGCTCGAATTTGGACACCACGTCTCAATTCTTAAACAAACTGTGATTAGCCTCGAGCCTTAACACTCCACCTTTGTGTTCGAAGCCTGCGCGAGTTTATGAAGCTCTCAACTATCCTTCGTTTTGTGCTCACAGCCGGTTCTTCTTTGGCTACATTCTCACTTCAATGTCGGGTTTATTCTTCTGTAATATGGATTCTCCACAGTTCCCATGGCCTGGACACTCAAATAGAGTTGAATTGGTGGTTAAGCTTACCGGCTCCAATCCCTTTAGGTATCCTTTATGCCAACAACCATTGCGATACATATATATATTTCATGGGAAGAGTTTACTGCTAGTACACAAAGTCCCTACTTAGATGATCAAGTGCGAGCTGCTGCCGCAGTAATCACCAGCGCGAAACTCAAAGCTTAGGCTCTTATAATGGCAGGTGCCGAAACAATTCTTTGGCTGTCCGAACACTTCTACCTCCCGATTTTGCTTTAAAATGGAGTCCTTGTAAGTGATTTCATTCCGTCTATTTCTACGCTTAAGTGGGTCCCCCTCGCTACGGCTCGCTGATGCAAATATCTCATCTTTATCCACGATTACTATGAAAGAGGCGCCTCGTGACTGACTAGTCTGGTACCTTATGATCTAGACATATTCTCTGAACTATTCAGTGCTTTTTTATAGGATTTGCCTGAGTGTCACTCCACATTCTTGACTGCGGATCGCAATATGGTCAGGTATTCTCTGAGATCAGCCAAATTTTCTATGCACTACGAGCTAGTCGTTTTGGCCCAGCCAGGGCCATATCCGTGGACATGCCGTGGTATGTGTTATGACATACAGTTGTCTTTCTTAGCCCATACTTAGAATCTCTCCCAGCCTGTTGACCGCTGGCTTCGTGCTTTTGCCGGTTTATAGACGTTAAATGTACATGGTGGAACCGCGTATAGCTGTGCTCTTACTTCCTCAATGCATTATGCTGGCAAAGAGCTGTGTGAGCGAGCTGGCGGAAATGAAGGCCTGGTGGATTTGCCCGCTCTTCAGGCCTCATCATCCAACAAAAGTCCATGCAAATATTGTACTTATGGAAGCTACTTATGAGAAATGTTCTAATGAGCCACTCTCACTTTCCTACCTTGTCCACCAGAATATTTGAACGATTGCATGTAGAAATAAACATTTGCGAACAGGCGCACTCACGTGTACGTCGCGAAATGATCGACAAAAAAAAGACATTGCATCTATGCCATAGGCACACCCGGGATCGAACCGGGGATCTTCTGTGTGTAAGACAGACTTCATAACCACTAGAACATGCACCTTTGTAAGATTCGCGGCCTGTGTGCGTTTTGATTCTTTGGAAGATATGTACTACCCAAAGGGAGATACTTGGGTTCCTGATCCTGAAACTGATTAACGATAGACGGCCAGCATGACAAGGGACACGCTCCTAGGCACTTTACACTCATGCACAGCCAAAGACTAGCAGTGGATGCCGTGAACGGAGGAACCTTGGAGTGCAAATATAGGCCGAAGCGGGAAATGCTGTGGCAAAGGGACATCTCCGGACTTGGGATTCAATTGTCCATCTTGACGGTCACCATCCCCGGAGCGGCTGACCTTTGCCGTCACCATCTGAGCAGGTGAACCTTGTGCGTCGGGTTTATTCTGCTCCACCACCATTACCTTGCTCGTTGTCGGTAGAAACTTGGGAGACGGCTCTTCTTGAGGTTGCCTTGTACGTGCACATTGTGCTTTCCACGTTTTACTAGCCAGCTCACGCGTTGCCACTTTGCCCTTTTCCCCTTGGTCAGCATTTTACGAGGCGTTTTTCGAGAGGAATTACCATGACAGAATCAACTCATGGATCGTTGAACTCGCGGTGGTTCTGGTCAGACCCTCTGCAGCAGAACACATGCACGCCTCTTCAACTGTCGTGGCTGTGGCAGTCCACGGATACCTCTGCCACTGTCGAGCTCTCGATTACCCAGATCCTTGTCCCTCAGCTTGACCCTCCTAGTTCCTCGTCCGTCGCCACCGCGTCCTCCACCATTGGAGGTGGAGTAACGCTAGCTGCACGTCAGACGGCTTCCTCAACGAATACTGCGGGAGGAACATTCCAGACTTCGATTGTAAAATCCATCACAGCCAACGCAGAATCCTTTCTCTACGAATCCATAGCTGTTCCTCAAGGTTGGTATCAAATTATAGCCTACGCGCCAGATGGTTCAATCGACAAACGAACGTCTTCGTTCTTCGTATGGAATGGGACAGATATTTCATGTCTTCCCACGAACTCCCCTTCTCCCAGCGATTCTTCGACACTTCCAGGTTCTACATCTTCTTCGGGCTCAACTCCAGGTAGCACTTCTACCGGGCTACCTTCTGGTGGCAGCAGCAGCGGCAGCTCAAGCAAAGCCGGCCCGATTGCTGGCGGAGTGGTAGGCGGCCTCGTGCTCATCGCTCTCCTTGCTGCCCTCTTCTTCTTTTGTCGCAAGAAGCGCCGTCAAAGTGTTCGCGGCTCTATCATTGGAGAGAGCAGCGTCTCTGGTTCTTCAAGCGCTGGTGGCCATAGGAAGGGCGGTAAATGGGGCGGTCTTAGCTCGGTGGATTCAATTGACGCTGCTGCGGCTATGGCTAGCGCCGCACGCTCTGCTCCTAACGGGGCTGGTGCGCTCGCCATGTCTGACCGCAGACGACCCGAAGATGATTTCATTGACGACGACATGGAGAAAGGATCTCCAACTAACGTCTCTCCATTCGAAAACGAATATACTTTTACGCCTGATGCGTTGGGATACCAACTCCCTTCAACGCCATCATCACGCCGTCCCTCTGCTACTGTCCGTTATTCGAACACTTCTGAACTGAGCGGTGGAGTTCCTTTGAGCCCTGTTGGAGCTATTTCGATATCACCGCCGAACGGCAACGGGTTTTCAAACAGTTACGATCGTTTCGGTGCGACCCCTTCACCAACCCCGGACACCGGCAACACTTCGATTACGACACCAAGCAAACCAAGGAGGAAACCCGTGCCGTCTTACACACCATCAACAACATCTGGTATTCGTAAGTCAATTCCTTTGGTTGCATGTACTCTTTCCTAATCCTCCTTCATAGATGGCCCGCCAAGCATTGGTGTTATACCCTCTGTACCGCCTATGCAGATGTCACAGTCAACGTCAACGGGGTCAAGCAGCAATCATGCTCAGCAATGGGGGAAAGACGGGAAAGTGCATTATTTGATGCCGGATTTGCCACCACCGACTTTATAATTTCCGACTGAGGCTTCTTTTTCTTTGTAAGTTCAGTTCCTCTCCCACCTTACCTTCGCATCTGACATGTTTCATCCTAACCAGGTCTCGGTCAACAAAAATGGGCAGGCAGATCATCGTATTATCTAACACAGCACATTTTCATGGACACAGTTTTCTTTCTCATGTACACTAACGATTCTTATAAACACCTAAACCTCCCTCCACACCCCATCATCTACTACTTATGCATTGTTCTTCTTCTTTGGTTTTTACTTCGCGTTTTATAGTCTCGCGCTTGAAGCGTGCCGGGATTTTTTTTTCTTTAGCACCATTTTTTTGTTGGCCAGATGTATAGAAGACATTTAACTCCTCTTTTCATGTTGTTGTATATCCTTAAATGTTTCTGTACAATGCATATTGATGGAACAATGTAGAATGGGACATATTCTGTGAATTTCTTAGAGGAAACAACGGCTGCTTGCCGTAATGAATAGGGGTTATAAGCAAATGAATTCTGGAGTTTTACAGACCTCATTCATCTTTTTGAATCTGCACTTATTCCTCTACCTGAACCCGGGCGCTCTCGATACACCAATCAAAAATTCCATCATAATCGCACACCTCCAGCAGCTTATTCTCCAGAGCAAGAGGCAAAACCTCCCAGAGTGCTTCCTTGGTGAACACGAGAGGCTGGTCCCTTCCATAAGGATCCTCTTCTTCTTCAGCAGAAATTCTGATAAAAATATTCTTATCGACCAGAGTACGATCCAGCTCTTCCCAATGCATGCCTGCAATGGATTGGACTATGGTTCTTCTCGGAGGTTTGAAATGGATACGGAGTCTCTGAAGAGCTGGTGTTGAGAAAATTATTTGCGCAATGTCAGCCATGCTGGCCCTGTCAGAGCCGTTGTATGGAATATTCGCCCACTCAATGCTGAGATATAGTTGCTGCAGTGCCTGGAATTGGTAACCTTTGAACAAGTCCTTAGGGAAGTCAAAAACTGGAAAAATAGTGTTAGCGTCAGTCAAAATGACAGACGGAACCTCGGGAAGCTTTTCTTACATATTTGAAACCACCGAAAAGCCAATGTTGTGAGAGTCGGGGCGTGAGACACAAGGAGGTGACGTGCAGCCGCAACGTCTTCTTCGTACCACCGCTCCGCATTCAGTGACAAGTGCGTCAAATGAATGACGGTGTTCCTCAATGTGGTGAAGCATTGTATAGGGAATGGTTCGAATCCAAGAGATTGGATACCCCAATAACCACGTAGCATCAAATGCTTCAAACTCGAAACTGTGTGTAAAGCTTGCCCAGAAGATGGAGGTCGAGAGTGCATAACGCCCACAGAACTCGCCTCAATATCTTCAGTGAGTACCAGATCCAGACTTTTGAGTTGAGGGCAGCTCGGGAGCAGGCTCTCAAAAGGTATTGAGTGCAAGTCTTGTATTTGCAATTCGGTGAGTGAGGGGAAAATGTGCTCTTCGAGAGTTCGGAGAAGCAATTCTGGATATGCATCCCAGCATGCTACGATGCCACCGGCGTTGATAGCCATGACGGGTGCCTTTATCTCCAATTTTCTCACCCTCGAGAGTAAGCGGAAGATACGAGAGAGTATGTCTGCAGTTGAATTTGTGGGGGGAGCAGAAAGGCAGGTACTGTATATCCAATCACAAATATTTGAAAATTTCGATAAAATGCCCAAAAGAATGTTTGCTGCATTTTCTGAGGTGGGTAAGACGATAGAAGACCAGAGTTTCGGACGGGCTGCGTTGTAAAGTGCACTGGTAACGAAGCTGGGGTATACCAATTCCGAATTTACGAAGCCTGGACGATCTCCCTTTTGAATGGGCACAGTGTCGTGGAGGAGGTAGGAGAGGATATGGGAAAGAAGCTCTGGAGGGACCCTCTCCATGATTCGGAGTAGTAAGTTAGGAGAGACGGTTTTGTATTCGCAACCCAAAGTGGAAAAATCTCCCTAGATATTTGCAAGAGCGTTGGAATAAGAGAGCTTGAGGGATGGTTTCACTAAATTTTGGCGTGGTCGCTGTTATGTTCCAAGATGACGTCGGTAAGCGCCGTGAGGTAAAGCAATCATGCATGTTACAGCTGTTTGCGTAAAGGTTGGCACTCTGCGAGAACCTCGAAACCTTGGAACCTCAAAAAAACCTCCACTTCATCAAGAATTCATGCGCTTGGGGCTAGGGTTTCCATGTTTCGGCGGACTGCCAACCTTTATGCAAACAGCTGTAAGACTATGTCAAGACAACAAATATATCATTTCTTCCAAGTCAGCTTTCTGGAGGAAATCCTCTTTCACAAATTCTAAGCGAAATCGAATCCCTCTTCAGATGCTTGCGCTGTTCCCAGAATTCATCCACCTATGTAGGTTTACCTTGGCACTTTAGCACTCGAACTTCAATGGAATACGATTTACGAATTTCACGATTGAAGGAAAGCGACTGCTGTATGTTGCAAGCGCGAACGAACGGATGGATCATTTGGCTTGTGGGAGGCTCAATGAAAAACTGATGTTCTTATTGAACTAAACAACAGAATGGGGAGAAGCATAAGTTACATCTCTATTCCAGCGTCGGCACTAACCACGATGGACCAGTCAAAAATGCCATCATAATAATAGCACACCTCCACTAATTTATTCTCCAAAGCAAGCGGCAGAACCTCCCAAACCGCCTCCTTGGTGAACAAGGGAGGTAGATCCGCACCATCTGCATCATCTTCCTCGTCAGCCGAGATGCTGATAAACACCTTTTTCTTGGCGAGAGTACGATCCAGCTCTTCCCAATGCATGCTTGCGATGGATTGGAGGATGCTCCTTCTCGGAGGCTTGAAATCGATGCGGAGTTTCTGAAGGTTTGGTGCTGAGGAGACTATTCGGGCAATGTCATCCATGTTAGCAGTGTCGGGGGTATCGTATGAAATATGCTCCCACTCAATGCTGAGGTCAAGTTGCTGGAGTGACGGGAATAGGTAACCTTGGAACAAATCACTCGGGAAGTCGAAAACTAGACGAAACAGTATCGATATCAAGTCAGAAATGACAGAG